TTTCTCTCCTGCCCAGGGCAGGGGGTCAGACCTGATGATCTACAAGGTCCCTTCCAACCCTACTTCTATGAATCTATGAATCAGTTGGTCTGGAAGGGACCTCCAGAGCTCATCTAATCTGACCCCCTGTCTGAGGCAGGGTTGTCCTTGGCTAAGGGATTGGAGTCTTGCCTTTGACAGTCAAAAGCAGTCATTCCCAACCTCAGATCATGACCCAAATGAGGGTCGCAGAGGCAGTGCCAGTGGTACCACACACAAAGGACAAGCCATGCCACATGCTGGGAGCTCCCCTACTCCCAGGCCATCGCTGCTGCTGCCACCACTGCACTCTGCTCCCAGCAGCAGGTCGTGGGAAAAAAAGCTTGGGAACCACTGGTCAAAAGGAAGGCTGTGGAGTGTGTTTTCCAAGTGGCATTTAGGGGTGTTGCCTCTGACAGTCAGCAGGGACATGGCTGGAGGGTCTCAGGGTTGTAGATGCACTGTTGGTGTGTTGTCTTTGATAGTGAGGATAATGGGGTGTTCCTTGGGTAGCTATGGGGTGTTGTATCTGACGGTTGCCAAGGGCTATGGGAGGTCTGTGACTAGGTGAAGAACTGGGGTGTTGCTTCTGACAGTCAGCGGGGACACTTGTTGCAGATGCGGCGTCTCATCACCCGAGGGGAATGGCAGTCAGAGCAGCAGGACACCATGAAGACTGGCTCATCCACCAACAACAACGAAGAGGAGAAGTCCCGGCTGCTAGAAAAGGAGAACAGGGAGCTGGAGAAAATCATTGCTGAGGTGAGGGAGGACCCTCTCTATCCCCATGTCAGCTGCTGTGACCTTGGGGGTGCACAGAGGAAGGTGGAGGAAGCAACCCCCAAAGGAGGGCTAATAGACCCCATGGGGTGGTGGGAAGTGCCCCCGACCCGTACAAGTCCTTATGACACTGGGGTGCAAAGTTGGGGTGTGGAGTCAGAGCCTCATGGGGTAGTTTCCCCCTCCATGCCCATCAGTAATTGAGGGCTGGGGCTGGGGCCAGGGGGGTTAGAGCCCAAGGCAACCTGTGAGCCTCCCCCCACACCTTCCACACCCCTTGCTCACGTCAGCCCCATCTCTTCTCTCCCTGACAGAAAGAGGAGCGGGTCTCGGAGCTGCGCCAGCAACTGCATGACCGCCAGCAGCTGCGCTCACGGCGCCGCTCCTCCAACCCCTCCCGGGACAGCTGTGCTGCTGACAACCACTTTGCCAATGCGTCAGGCACCATGCCCACCCTCTACCAGCCCAGCCTGCCCCTGGTGCGCTGTCTCGTCTCTGAGCAGGCCGACAAGCTGGGGCGCAGCAACTGCGATGGCAGCCGCGTCCACCTGCTCTACAAATGACTGCCATGTGGCTGGGGACAGGGCTAGGGTAGGGGTTGGGGACAGGGCAGGGGGCAGGGTACAAGAAGGGGGCAGAGCTCAGGGGGGCTCTTCTTTTTTAACCACATCTCTAATCTTTGTAAAATATTGCTGTCTCTGTCCGTCGGTCCATCCGTCTGCCCCACGCCCCTCAGTGTCTGGGATCCAGGGGCTAGCATTGGCTCTCCATGGAGCAGGTACCAGGGCCATAGAGTCTGGGGTATGCCCTGGCTTAGCATCATTTGAGTGTCTGTCAGCCGGTGTGGGTGGGGGCCAGAAGGGGCAGCATCAGATGGGACAGGGTCAGCTGCTCAGAACCCAGATGCAGGGGGTGAATGGAGAAGGGAAAATACACCGGTGTTGCTCGTGTTCTTGTGCTGGGTGTCCAGTCACGCTGTAGCACACCGTCAGACCTGATTGCCTTCTACGTACAGTCACTGTGTTGTGAACAGCCAGATCCAGTTACTGGTACACGCAATCAAGGTGTGTTGCGCACCCAGATTTAGCTCTTTGTATGTATGGTGTTATTGTAGCCTACGATCAGGTCTGGTTATTCGTAAGTACAGTCAGCCTATAGCACACCACCAGATCTGGTCATTTGTACAGCTGTGTAGTGCACAGCTGGCTATGGTTACTGTAATGTACTGTCAGGCTGTAGTGTACAGCTGGGTCTAGATACTCAGAAGTATGGTCAGCCTGTAGCGCACAACTGACTGCTTATTTGTATGTACAATCAAATTGTATTGCACACGCAGGTCTGGTTACTGCAATGTACTTTCAGACTGTAGTGCACAACCAATTCTGGTTACCAGCATGTACAATCAAATTGAATTGCACACCTGGGTCTGGTTACTGTAATGCATTTTTTCATACTGTAGTGCACAACAGGCTCTGATTGCTCATATGTACGGTCAGACTAGCACACGCCAAACTCTGATTACTGTTGAGTGCAGTCAGGCTGTAGTGCACAACTGTTTCTGATTATTTGTATGTACAATCAAAATGTAGTGCACAACCAGCTCTGGTTACCTGTTGGTACAGTCAGACTGTACCCCAGAACCAGGGTTGGTTATTGTATATGTGTGGTCATAGTGCACATTCTGGTCTGGTTACTGTCATGTACTCTCAGACTGTTGTGTACAACCAGATCTGGTTTCTTATATGTACAGTTGCACTTTAGTCAACAACTGGATCTGGTTATTCTCATATGTGCAGTCATGTTGTTCATATGCGAAATACTCTTGTTCCTTTTGCCTACCTCTGCTCTGGAGCACAGAGCCAGGGTGATGCCCCACCCTGAGAGAGAGACAACTGGATCACACTGGCCTCAGCTGCTCACCCCTACCATGGAGGAACTGCAGGCAGAATAAGCGGGTGACTCAGCATAGTTGGCCTGTGTAGCACAATTGGACCTAGGGTGCTTATCCACACCCTGGCTTACAGAAAACAATCATGTCACGTTACCAGTAGGAACAGCTACAAAGACCTGGAGTGGACCATCAGAGGGGACATGCTACCCCTTGATGAAGGATCACACTGTCTACATTGACAGTAGCCTCTTCACTGCACTACTTTTCCCCCACCCAACACCCTGCACTAGTGACTAGGCTCAGGTCCTGGGGTGAGTGAATTGGGCCCCGAAGGGTACAGCTAGTTCCACAGTGGGGCTAGCGCAGCAGGTCCTAAATTGTCCTGATACACATGACCTCAGCCCTCCTCTTCTGCTAGATGTAGCAGCAGCATGGGGGCTCCCTGGATAAGTTTCCTCATGGACCAGGCCTGGGTGTACCCCAGAGGCTCTGTGTTCAGTGCATGCCCTGGCCTAGTAGAATGGGGACCCTTACCCCTGCAGTTCCCTTTGCTACTCAGATAACTCACCTGAAATCAGGAACCAGTCTTCTGCTGGGCGTTGGCTTGGCCAATAACAGCATGATAATAAGAGCACAGGCTGCGTGCAACACATGGACTGTGACAGGAGCTGAGGCATAAGGCACACAAACCTGTACATAAGTGTAGCACCTGATGGAGCAGGTGCTGTCTCTCTCATGGACCAACAGCCCAGTGCATCAGGGTGCAGTGAGCCCTGAATTTCCTGGGAGGTCACAACATTCCTGAGGAAATGAGGCCAGTTGTGGAGCCACTTCAGTGGCTTGCTCGTACATGCAACTCCATTATCCCTCCCCAACACTTGCAAAGACCCCGTGCCTGTGCTGCCCCAAAAGCACAACTGGCACTGTGCACCTTGATGGCAGATGCACGCTGCATGCCAACAAGGTACACACAAACTCAAACACCATGGTCCATATGGTTGCCCCAGGCAAGCATCAGCCCCATTCCCACACAGACACTGCCCGCACAGCATCACACAGCCCCATAACGGACACAGCACACAAATCCACCAGGGGTGAGCGCATCGTGCATGACAAGGTCCGTGCATTTACACGCAGGTATACATGCATGCATAGACACCCAAACAACCACCTTGCTGTGCAGCCCCCACACATACAGCATCAAGGCAACTGCCCCTTGCACACACACACAGCTGCCACAGCCACATACAGGAGGAATAGTGTCCTGCTCCTACCCCAGACAGCTGCTGCATGGACAATGTTACACATGAAGTCAACACAGCATGTACCTACTGCATGTACAGCATCTCATGCACACATGCTTACAGGGCTGGCCCACAATTTTTGGGGGCCCCTGATCCAACAAAAAATCAAAATTGCAGTATACACTCACTGAAATCAAATAGTTGGGGCTGGGCTGTGTGCACATGGGCTGCACTGGGGGGGGCATGGTGGGGGCAGCATGTGCTGGGGATGCCTGGGTTCCCTCCCCAGGGCCAGAGCCGGAGCTGGGGCCCAGGCGGGAGCGGAGCCGGGAACTCCTCCCTTGCTTGGCCAGGAAGGGGCTTCCTGCCTGCATCAAGCCCTTTAAAATGCCACAGGTGGTGGGGGACGAGTGGGGCACGGCACCTTGTCTGCAGGCCCCCTGCCGCAGCAGGTTCTGCAGGATGGGACAGGCCGGCCCTGCGTGCTGAGCACACAAGGTGCTGCTACAACCCTGAGCTGAGAGGGAGTGTATAGGAGACATGAGCTCCCATTCTGGTGTTTGCCTCAGATTCCTCCCTACATCCAACTGTCCTGTTGTCTGTCTGTCCAGTCACCCACCACCACATCCAGGCTTCTTGCCATTTCTGTCTGTCTATATAGCCCCAAGAACCCCCGTCCTCTCCTTGCGTTCCTCCATGGTCACAACGTGACCAGTCTACCCATTCACCCATCCCTCCCCATCACACTGAAGCCACAAGTCTCTGTGGAGGCAAACCACTGCACCACAGCCCTCCAGATGGCTGGGATGGGGAGAAGCTTATGCAGCATCCACCATTACGGCCCCCCAAAAGTCAGATTGCACAACCTCCTCCCCATCCCCAGGCCAGCCGTGTGGAGGCTGAGGGCTGGGGCTGGCTCTGGGCTGCTCTCAGGTCAGGCTGGTACTTCCAGTAGGGGCAGGCAGTGCTGTGGCTAGGGGGGATGTGGGGACAGGGACGTTCCATATCATCCCTTGCCGCACAGCACTGCCTGCCCCTGCTGGAGGTACCACGGCTGCCCAGATGGACTGTGTGCCTAAGAGTGGGAGCAGATGCCAGGGTCCTCACTGCAGGAACCAGGGGCCTGCAGCTGTGGGGTGACAAAAGCCTCTGCACAACACAGTCTGAGCCAGCCTCCTCTGTACCACCCTCCCCACTGCACTGAGAACAGGGGAGGGAACGCAAGAGTCCTGGATCTCAACCCCCTGCTCCAACTCATCAGACCCTGCTCCCTTCCCAGAGCTGGGGACTGAACCCAGGGGTCCTGCACATCCCTGGGCCCATGTGCCAACCCCGGCCTTCCCTTCCTAGCCACCTCCCTAAGACCAGAGTGTGCACAGGCTCTGGCCAGCATTAGCAGGCTGAGCTCTGGGGCTGTGCTGAGGTGAGCTGGGGCTAGGGCTACCAGAGCCTCCCATACCAGACATGGCTGCTCCTACTGGGCCAGCCAGCTCGGCGGACCTCTTCTTCCTGGGATGGGGGGATCTTACACAGGCCCCGGGCTGAGCTCCCCCATCACAGCTCTTGCAATAGGCGAGGGAGAAGGGGTTAGAGGGGCTGACAGAGCAGGTCAGAGCAGTGGGGCTGGGAGCCTGGTCTCCTGGGATCTAGCCCCAGATCTGGCTGGGACGTGGGGTCCAGGGTATATGGGAAGGATGATCTGAGAGCCAGGACTCCTGGCTTCTATCCCTAGATCTGGGAAGTGAGCAGGAGACCTGGGAACCAGAAGTGCCCCCCACTAGTCCCCGCTCCGCTCTCAGGATCATTCTTTTCCCCTTGGGTAGTTCGAGGCCTGTCAGAACATCATCGACACGCAAAACACAAGTCATTTAATGCAGGTGGAAGCAGAGGAACAGGAGAAGAGGGGTCACATGTATGTTCCCAGGAGATGGGGTCTGAAGGGGCTGGTGCAGGGGGTGGTCTCCCCCCCTCCCCTCAAGTCAGTTCTCTGGCAGTGATCAGGGATGTCACAGTCACAGACCCACAGTCATGTCCAGGTCCTGGCAGCTGCTCCTCTTGTCAGGCATCAGCCCAGGCAGGGCAGGGACAGGGCAGTCCAGGGGCTGGTGCTAGGAGGGGCACAGCAGGGAAGTGGCCTTCATCCCAGCCCAGCCCATGGGCATCAGTGCCTGGTGGGGGGGGCTAGGGTGTGGTTGGTGAGTGTGCTGTTGATCGTGGGCCTTGAGGGCAGGGGCCAGGTGAAGTTGCTGAGTCCTGGGCGCGGCCCTGCCATGTTGTACACACCTGGCAGCCAGAAGAAGATGTAAATGCCGCAGGCTATGAGCCCCACTGTCACCACTATGGCCACGGCTACGGCCACACAGAAGGGCCAGCTGGTGATGCTCAGCCTCTGCAGGCTACGGCCCGCGACCCGGGGCTCCGGACGCCCTACATCCACACTCAGGCTGATGGTGTTAAGGGTGCTGCCTGGCTTGGGCAGTGCCGGTGCCCGGCCCCAGGCCCAGCCCTGGTTGCTGCCTCCATTCCCCCCTAGCATGTAGAGCAGTCCCTTGCGGCGGCTGAAGTGGACGGAGCCCTTGGGGGCACCAGGCAGGGGGGGCAGCTGCTCCAGCAGGTCGTAGCGGGTGGGCAGGCCAGGCAGCCCTTTGCGACGGGGTAGGCGTGTGAGCTCCCGGCACACGGGGCAGCTCACAGCATTGACCTCCTCAGAGGAGACGTTGATGCGTGCCAGGCACTCCAGGCAGAAGGCATGCCCACAGCCCAGGGCCTTGGGCACCTTGAACAGCCGGTCATAGGGCGTGAAGCAGATGATGCAGTCCAGGGGTGTCTCCTCCTCCTCTTGTTCCTCCTCAGGCCCTCCAGCCCCCTGCAAGTCAGGCCATCGCTGCTCCTGGTCCTCTGGTGCCTGCATGGCACCTGGCCTCTCCTCTGCCATGCCCGGGGCTGTCTCCTTCACGTCGGGCAGAAATGGGACTTGTGGGGTGGGGGCACCACACACACTACAGTCTGGGAGGGTGCAGGCAGTGTGGGATAGCTGCCACCTCCCAGTGCCCTCTCCCCCAGCTGCTGCTGGGCCAGGCCTGCACCAGCGTATCTGGAGAAGCTAGGGAGAAAGGACAATATTTACCCAGCAGTGATAAGGAGCCTAAGGAGCCTGGCGTCATCGTCCCAGCTGGGAGACGCCTCCAGCACCCCAGATTATATGGGGGTGGGGGTTGGGGCTATCAGCCATTGCCTGGTTCCTCTAGAGTCACCCCAATACAGCCCCATCAGCTGTGTATGCAGCATCAGCATGGAGCGATTGGCTGCCCACGCTCCACACCAGGACTGGGAAAGAGAGAACATGTCCCCACAGCACCTCGCTGCACCTCGCTGCTAGAGCCCACACCCAAGCCTGGCCTCTGCTCCCCGCGCCCAGGACCCCAGGACTAGGCTGCCCCCTTCACAGCTCTGCCAGTGGCCCTCACCCCTGCCCCACTGCCCTTGCTCTCCCAGCCTGGGGCTCCCCTGCCTCAGCAAAGTCCCTGGCCCATCAGCCTCACCTGCTTGCTGGCTGTGGTCCGTGGGCTCTGGGAGGGCGCAGAGCTGGGACACTGGCTCTCCGTGTGTCCCCAGCCCTGGGTCCCTTCCCCTTGCCTTTGGCTCTCCCCAGAGCACTGGGGAAGCTGCGTCCCGTATGCCAGCTCTGCTCCACCTGGCACCAGGTGCAGCCGGTCCTGCCACTCCCCAGCCCTGGAATCCGTCCCCTGCAGAGAACGTTTCCTTTCGTCACGCCTGCAGCTCCACCCTCCTCATGTGGGCCTGGGCAGGCTGCAGGGACAAGCCGGTGCCACTGCATTCCCTGCCTGAAGCCACTGTGCCAGGAATGCAACTAGCACCTCGCTCCACCAGCATTAACCCTTTGCCCCTTTCAGTGAACACCCCCTACTGCACTCCCCCAGCCCACGCTGCAGCACGGTGCCCTCTAGCACGGCTCTGGGGCATCCGTGCCAGCACTGACTGCCAGGACTACACCCTGCACCCTGGTCCCTTGGTACCACATTGGGCCTGGCACTGACCCACAGGGAGTGCTGCCCCTAGGGACCCCTCACCCCACTGCAACACAGCGCTCTCTACTGGCATACTGGGGTTGCTGCCTCCCTGCCTCAGGTGGGAGTGGGCCCCAGGGCCAGTGCTGACTGTGGGGGAAGAGCTGCCCCCCTCCACTGGAAGGAGAGGACAGCCGTAACCATAGCACAACTAGGTGTGGGCAACCCTCCAGGGGAAGGGCACCCCAGGGTGGGGTGGGACAGGGGAGAAATGGGCCGGGGAACAATGCTGGGGCAGGCAGGTGTTCTTCAGGAGTGGGGAGATAGGAAGCAGAAGTGGACCAGGATCCTGGATACCATGGCAAGGCCAGGAGGTTGGATCCACAGCCTGGCCCATGGGAGCATGGGGACTGCGGCCCTGGCTCTGTCAACTTAATCCTCCAGAGATGAGGGGTGGGGGTGATGGGCACAGGGCTCAGGGCCAGGCCCAGCCTGGAGGGCAGTATGGAGGGCACCAGGATTGGCCTGGCCTACTCTGCAGCCATGGTTTGGCACCCCTGCCCCAACCAGCAATTCTGCTCCTGCCAGACTGGTCCATCCAGCTGGACCAGCACCTTGCCTCCCCCAGGGTGGGGGGCAGGTCGTGTCTCTCCCCTCTGCACACACAGCACCTGCTGCCAAAATCAGAGCAGACAGAGCCTGGGCCCCACTGTGACCCTGAGGGTCCCCCGACGTCCAGACCAGGCCAGTCAGCCCTATGCTCTGTGGCCAAGAGCCTGCACCCCCAGGACAGAAGTCAGAATCCAGCCCGAATCCCCCTGCAGTCAGGGGAGGACTCCAGATTTAGCCCTGAAGAAACCAAGACCAGAAGCTGGCTTCCATCCCCCTGCACCCGGCAGATAGCTCCAAACTGGCCCTGAGCAGCCAAGATCAGGATTCAGTACAATCAGGAGGCAACTCTGGGGAGACTCCTTGCAAGCCCTGCTCTCTTCCTGGGCCACGCAGCTACACCCAGCTCAAGGGGATATTTCACTGTGCTGGTTTTACGCCCAACCCAAACTTCAGCTCACACCTCACAGCAGGGCTGGCTGAAGCAGGCAGATTCCAGTTCCCTCTCCTATTCCCCTGCTGCAGTCACTGCGCATTGGCATCATGCCACGAGAACATGGGCCCTGCCTGACGCAAGATGTTTCCTACACTGAGGCTGCCTCTGGCCCATCACTACTGACCCACTTCACATGGCCCACCCTGTGCCCTCTGCACATGCAGGTACTCGAATGAGAACTAGGGGGAAAGTGGAAGACGAGCAAGCCTGCCCATCCATCCAGCAGATGCAGTTTTGCTCCTCCTCAAGCCCCTGCCTCCCCCAGAGCTCACTAATGGGCCTGTAACAAGGGGCAGGGTGTCAACATGGGGTTAGCAAGCCAGGCCTGTGGCCGCAGGCAGTTTCCAGGGGGTGTTTAGCGTAGCCAGATGAGGGTCATGCTGTGGAACTGGCTTGGTTTGGTAACAATCCTTTCCAAGACTCATCCCAGGGACTGGAAGTGGAGTATCTCCCCCCGAAGGCAGAGGCACAGCAACTACAACTAGATATTATGGGTGCAGTCGGAAGTTGTAAGTAATGCTGTAAATTTAATCACTTTACACAAAGCACTTAAATTTGGTGTTATCAAAACCAAACAGATAAGTGGCTCCTGTGCACGGGAACTCATGCCTCCACGCAATGACAGAGTCCAGGTGGCAAGGGGCACTGCCGCCTGCATTGTAAGCCAGCCAGGGTCTTGGAAGCCCCTGGCTGGCTGTCATAGGGGTTGGGCACAGTCTGGGGGCTTGAGCCCCAACCCCATGACAGCAGGCACTGGGGACCCTCACCCACCCAGGACATTTTTGCTGTGGGGAGGGGCTACTGGGTAGACAGGGTGGAGCCAGCTGTGTCAGATAGGGAACAAAGGCCTTCACCTGCCATCAGCCCTTGCAGTGAGGCAAATAGGCTGTGCTCAGCTATGACAGAATATGGACAATGGACTGGGGCAGTGGGGCAGGTGGCAGGGGAAGTGGTTGGGGGCTGGGATTTCTCACAATCAAGGGCTCCTTTTCACAAAGAAGGGGTGATTGCTGGAATCCCCTTCCAGGGTTTGAGTTCATGGGGATGCCCTGGCCTTTGAGCCTCTCACCCAGCCCAACTGTTGAAGGAGCCACTGGCTCTGGCTGCTGTCAAACCTGGAGAGGCGCTCCTTGCAAGTTGCAGCACCCATCCCAGCTGGTGCACTGACAGCCAGCAGCACTGGGCTGTGGATGGGACCTGAGGCCCACCACCATGGGGTCTGTGCCTGGCATGCCCCAGACACCAG